TAAAGAACCACCTTTCAATAGTTGAACGTACCGAAAATTGGAATCATTTAATATTTGAAAATCTCATTTACTACTGAATGAAGCGATTTTGTTCCCAATGCTGCTTGGAGAGTTTTGTGCGTTTCCCATGCCCATGTTTAATTCCCCTAGAGAGGCTAGAATAGGAGAATGTTGGAAAGAAAAATTTTATGGCATTACTTACGTAGTAAGATGAGAATGTAAAAAAAATAGTTATGAACTAACCAGAAATTGGGTTTTACAACGCGTTTCATTTGGTTTGCCGCTGTATTCTTGGTAGTTATTTGACTTCGATGTGTTTCCGCTGTTGCTTTTTTTTTTTAATAATGAGGGATCCGACGTAAAATTTGCCCGTCGTGAAATATTTCCTGGAATGGCTTGTTGCTACAATAATGTGCCTGGCCTGGCCTCCAAAGCCGCATTGAGTCATCGTCCGTCACGAACGGCCAGGCTTCTTTGGCATGTCCATACTCCAAGGATGTTGTGTGGAGTGGCTACCTATTGTCTTGACCTAGTCCAATTCTGTTTGTAATTTTAAAACTTATTCACAGGAAAAGAAAAGGAGTGTATTTTTTCGAATTGTTTTTGAAGACATATTCCAGTCTGCACATTGTCTGGTGTGATAATGAGTAGTCAACAGACGTCCTGTGTCTGGATGTGAAGCCTAATCTACAGCGTTACAATTAAAGTAAGTTTTTTTTGTGTGTTTTTGACCTGAGCTGGGAAGTCTGACGCCACGGTTTCAAAAATAGGTAGAGCGGTACACGAGGAATCGTTTACATGCATCTGTAACTACAGCAATCACCGTCGGGCGTTGTGCACACCGCGGGAGTTAAGAATATACATTGCGATGTCGTAAGATCGACATGTAATTTGCAATAAAGACTGCACCGAAGCTGAACTACGGGTAAAATCCTGTCCTTGTGTTTCGTTAAAAAAAACTCGAAAAAAACAATGTATGAGAAAATTAAAGTATTATACTACCTTTCCCCAATTATTGTTAGCTTTGTGAATTTGTCAGGGTTACGATGAAGTGTTTAACTACCTACTTTAAATTGCGTTAAATCGAAAAATAATTATAGATTAATTGAATTGATCTACAAATATATATCGGAAATGCCACGTCTAGCTTCGACATAGAAGCGGAGAAATGCTGTGCCACGTTACTGGTGTCAGCATTTGTTTATTGTACGTCTAAAGTCAGTTTAGGGAAGATCGGAGAGAAGTATAATACATGGAAGTTTTCTTGAGTTCCGGTTCCCCTGCTCCTCTTATACTACAGTAAGTTAAATGGCAATGAGCGCCTTAGGCAACCTTTTATAACGAGAAACATTTGCTCCCGTTCCCTATAAACTATTTGCATAGGCAAATGATTACAGCTTTTATCACTTACCCATTGTACGCCCAAGCGACGGATTCAACTGCCGCGAGAATGCGCTCAAGAAAATGTGCTCAGATAGTGCAGCTACATTTCTGTCGAGAAGCAATGCAATGAGCCATCTCAACATTTGGTCAATATTGAATGAAACTGGACGAGATGATCATTGACTCATAAGATGGAGTGCAATGCTTGTTACACGCATCTTCAATGTTTTAGAATTATACAGTTGGCAACTAACGCCTTAATATCATTAAAATAAATATTTTCGTTTTGAATCTCGGTGTCATCTCTAATTGTATTCAAAGTATCTCGACTGAGTCCACAAACTTAAAGAGGGCCAATATAGGCAATTTTGCCTTGTGGCATGGATGTAGGAGACGCTTCCGCATGCGCGGTTTGAGTGAAAATGGAAAATGTAATTAGGAAATCGCGCCTTCCAGCAACGTTGCCATCAAAATACATGTTCTTTGGAAGTTCATTTTTTTTAATACCGTTTTTTCAATTTATGTTAGTAATTTCTCGAAGTGACCTCCATTTATTGTCGCATAAAGCTCACAAAGACGGATCATCGATTGCCTCATTCGGCCAAAGATTCCCGTCTGAATCGCTTGAGTTGCAGCCACAAGTGTTGTGAAGAAGCATTCGCGCGCCTTGCAGAAATAAGTGTTGTCAAAAGGCCCAAGAAAAAGAATAATAATATTATTATAATTATAATAATATTATATATATATATATATATATATATATATATATATATAAGAATAATATTATCTAATATTATAATATTGGTGAGCGTAGCGGTGTTCCTATCCACCTTTAAGGAAATTGCTCGTTAAAAAGTGACGCACAGCGCGCGCGTGACGAGTAGGATATGCATTTGTATTGAAGTCGCACACGCGCTCTCACTCCCAAAGAGACGTGGGAACTTGCCGATGACCTTTGCATATTAAGAACTTAAGACTGAACAGGCATGTCCTGTCAAGAATCATTTTGACATTGTTGCACATTTTTAGATAAAGCTGTGAAATCTGTACTTCTGAATCCCTGTTTACTTTTCGGTAACCACTACGTAGTTTGCAGTTTCTGTAGAATGCACATGAAGCAGTTCAAGAAAATAACAATAGTCCCCGCAAGTATACCCGCGCCACTTTAATCAAGGAACTATGACAAAACAATTGCGGGTATACAAGTATACCCCTGGTCTAGAATAAAGTCTTGATTGTATGACTCTTGATTATTCTACTGGTATTGCGGCGGCATGAGGAGAGCTCTTTCTGACCATTCCCCGCGGGGAAAGGGGGGGGGGACTAGTCGGCCAGCACCTGCGTACAGCAGATCTCAGCGGCTGGGTGACAGCCGGAAGAAGGGCGACGATCCGTAAGAACAGCGTCCACTGGCGAACTCGGTCGGGCGGCCCGGGTTAGCGCGCAACAGCTGGCGAAGGCGTGGCACCACGGTGCACGGAGTTGTGGGTCACGCGTTCACAAAGCTCGTGCCCTAGAGTGGTGTTGAGGCGTAACGGTCGCTCTGCTGCTGACCCTGCTTTATATATCCAGGAGGGGCAGTTTGAAAAAAAAAAAACAACGTTATGCCGCTTCGACTTCCCCCTCCCCTGCCCTAGGGAGTGAGGAAGCGTGACCTCTAGCGCACTCTACTGGTGGGAGGATACCACAATTCTCCCCGCTAACTTTAATGTGGTTATAGGGGTGTCCACGATATTTGTATGAACATCATGGAACTGGGCCTGTTGAGTCTTCTCTGCTTTGGATGTTTGGTTCTACCTCCGGTGTTATCCCTGCTCTTGATGCTGCGTTGTGTAGCGTTATCGACTGGTGTACTGTTGGCCCCTCCGTGTTGTCAGTGTCACTGCTGCAGGCTGAAAACCAAAGTAATAATTACTACTATGTGCCTGAGGTTGGTGTATTGGGTCATCTAAGTGAGTGTTCCAACTTCCCGTAATCTGGTTTTAGTGCCTTGGCATCGAACCCACGTACGAAATACATTTTGTGACCTATTGTTTCTTGTATCAATGCTGAAATTCATTTTGGATACGATTTGAATAGTACATATAAGAGGGGTTCTGGACCAGATTTTTAGAGACCACGTTCTTACCCAATTTTCACATTTGATGCAAATTCCTATATTCACATATTTTGTAACATTTTCACTATTTCGAAATAACCCCCAAGTATCTCTAATTTTCTTATTTTTTTTTTTTTTTTTTTTTTTGTAAATTTTCACGCGTTGCAATCCATGTACACCCTCACACTAAATTTTTAGAATCGAAAGGAACCCAACTTTATTAATTTAACACAAAATATGCGTCAATATTCTCGAAATAATTCATATTTTCAGGGATTTTGATATTCAATTTTAGGTGTTGAAATCGCAAAAACTAGATTTTTTCCACGATCTCAAAATTTGTAAATATTGATCAATCACATTCCATTTCAACAATTTATTTATATGTATGGAAAAAATTGTTATATTAAAATAATCATTTTATTAACAGGGGCTGTATCGAAGCACACTCAAGCTACATTGTTACAGTAACAAAAAAGTAATAGTTAAACATATATGGTCCTCTATATAATTTTTAGTCACAATTGAAAAAATCTCAAAATATTTTCTTTTTTGTATAATAAACAAAATATTTTATAAGATATTTCTACGAAATGTTGACTTAACTGTATAGAGGATTAAATATTCATAATTATTAATAGTAAGTCACAGCATAAGGTTTTTAAAAGTTATAGATTTAATTAATTATCATGAGTATTTTGTAGGTATCAGAAAAGTACAGAGATTTGGAGATGAGGTTGTTGAGCCTCTGAAATGCAAGGGCAAATTATGAGTATATTTTTACTAAAACTTTATCGAAAGTGTTTAGAAGAAAAATATTGTATGTGATAAGCCACCATTCATTTTTTTTCAATATAATTATGATACGCAATTCGCATGTCGAGGATGATCGTCGACGCTGAGGGGTGGGAGGAGGGAGTGGTAAGGTAGCCAGGGGAAGAGAGGCATGGCATTGGAGGGGCGGTGGGAGAGTCCTAGCTGCGAGACTGAAACAACTTCCTAATATTCGATATTCAATGTACTTGCCTTGTGTTGAAAATAAAATTGTCTAATCTAAATTAATCTAGGTTGGGCCCTTAATACTAGTTCCAATTATGAATTAAAAGGCGTATGAGAGTGAAAAGAAAGTTCGAGCAATTTTTCTCAAGTACTTTGATACAAGTGGTTTTAATTTTATTAATCTGCAAAATTTACAATAAAAATTCTGATTTTTTGAGTTGTCGTGCAACCCTCCATTTGCAAAGCTGGGCGATTTCTCAGCCCCGGTTATAGGTGCGTAGATGAAAGACTGAGTTCTTACTACTTACGAGTCTCCTGCCGGACGACTTCTCCGTCCAAAATTCTGAGTACAAAGGCGGCGGGTCGCCCTCTAACCCCAGGAAGTTATATATATGGACACGAGCCCTAGTTCTGTTAGGGCAATTCTAACGGGCGGTCAACAGTAGTGGCGGGCAAATTCGACCTGTTCTGCAGTCGCGTCCGTGTACGGGTGTTGATAAAAAAAACAAGTTTTTCGAAATTAATAAAAGAAACTTTAGAAAATTTCGAAGTGTCAGTGTGCGAAAGTTCTAATAGATTGCTATTGAGAAACGTAAGTGCAATGAACCGAAAGTCTAGAAAAATCCAACTACAGAGAGAAGAGAATGACCACTCTGAAGTGAACGTAAGAAATCGTTGGTAAGACGATATAGACGTGCGTTGCACAGAGAGAAAACTAGCGCAAACCAGATGTGACGCCCCCTCCTATGCGAATGCTGTCATTGATCGTAATTTACGTGGGAGAGATCACATATGAATGATTGAGTAGTCGGTAGAAGAAAGAGGTTAAGATGAGAGGGTAAATTCATAAAGGAGTTATAAAGTATGTTTGTAACTCAGTCGGACGCGTTTTAAGTTTAATCACTTATTCACTTTCACCAGATAACTAACTACGGAAGATGTAGGAGAGAGCGTAATGGAATAATCACCAGGATGTCGAGTGCATTCATGTCGGCGTCAGCTTCTTACCATGGTTTTCCAATTCTCCTCAGTGCAGATATCCAATTGCAGCTGCGGCTGGTTCTTCGTGGTTGCGTCGAGGCTGCTGGCGTCATTCTCGAGAAGCTGATGTGCTGGTGTTTTCGGGAGACCGTTTATACTATATTATCCTGCTAA